GCAAATTTTCCAAAACATCCATACTTAAAGACTCTTGCCCAGGAGCTTGAATATATTTGAAGTTGACCCTGAACATATGCCCAAGAATTCAAGGCAAGTTGAATATGATCCCAGGATCAGACTTGGTGCATGTGAACATGCATCTATGTTTCAACATGAGACAGCTCAGGACTGGTTCACACATGCAAAGCTACCCCTTGATGACTACATAATGGACTCCATTCATTCATCCAATGGTTCAGCCAGAGCCAGCATACACATGAGGTGAGATAATGTGACTGCTTCAGGCAGCAGGATCCACAGGGGCAACAGATCCAAGGAATATATCACTTGCTGCTGCCGCCAGGGTGGCAGCAGCAGCTGTGGCATGCTCCTTATTCCTGATATCTTCATTCACCTCTTCTTCCCTGGCTGGGGGAGAGCCATTTATGGCTCAGGTGCCAAAATGTATTGGAGTGGCCCTAGATTCAGCCCTAAATTATTTCTCTCCAAAGGGGAAAAACTGTAGTGGTGATAAGGAATCTGTGGCCCTCCAGATGTTGCCTAGCAGTCAAGGATGGTTGGAGAAAGACTCTGGCAACATCTGGAGAGCTATAGGTTTCCCTGCTGGAAAAGGGAGGGTCCTTATGGCATTCAGTAAGAGATACTGGAAGGGGCTGGGTACTGGAAGGTGCTATCAACACATGTAGAAAGGGTGAGTCAAGTTGCTTCAGCTCCAGGGAGAGCCAGACAGGAAATAGGCAGAGATTAGCAATGTAAGCAAGGCTTGTTTGTTCTCTAAACACTATTAAGTAAGAGTCCAGCATCAAGAATTCAGTACCCTGGGGCTGGACTAAGCTTCTTTCCATGATGCTGACTCCTCTGAGGAGGATAAAGAGCTGACTCCTCTGAGGACTCTGAGGAGTCTTCTGGCTTTATGTGGGAGAGGGCTGAGAGGCAAATGGGGAGGAAACATGTCTGACTCCAAAGGGCACCAAATATGGAACAAATACAAGGGCTATTGCTATCCCACAATATGGAATTGGATGTCTTTAAAAGAGATGAGATAAATTAATAAGGAATAAGGCCAGCAACAGCTACTAGTCACAACTATATTCTTCCACCACTGTCACAAGCAACATGTCAAGGAGATAAAGAACAACACAACTTTTAGAAGACATCTGAAGGCTTGGGTAGTTTTTTAATGTCTGATGTTTTATTATGTACTGGAAGCTGCCAAGAGTGGCTGGGGAAACCCAACCAGATGGGCAGGGTATACCTGTTGTTGTTGTTGTTGTTGTTGTTGTTGTTGTTGTTGTTAGTGCAGAGTTAACTTTGAAGCTTAGCTCTTACACTTGCTTTCAGAATGTATGGAGCAAGTTGAATTGCAAATTCCTCTCCTGGCTCTACAGAGGAGCAGGACCCACACACAACTGGGAGAACAGGTTGTGAAGGATGGAGCAAGACCTGCATGAAAACCCCAGGAGGAGTCCTGTCTTCGGACAATGAATTTTTGAAGGGTGACTGCCCAACCTGGCCTTCAAGGACATCAACCTCAACTCCTGCAACACCTTCAAGGTGAGCCACTGCCTCAGCATCCCCGAGCAGCTGGGAGGCATCACCCGCTCCATCTTCGGCAAACTGTTCAGGAGGAACTGCCTTACCAAAAAGACAAAGGAAGTCAAACCTGCTGTCGACAGTGCTCCTGACTGGAAGTTGTTTGGCAAAGTCCCACCAAAAGAAAACCTACAGAAAGACTCTAAAGTAATTCAGCAGAGGTGTGAGGAAGTGCAAAGAAAGGGAAAGAGCCTTGCTTCCCTCCACCCTCAGCTGAGCAAGTAGCCTCTCCCAGGGCATGACTTTAAGAACAGCAGAAGCAGCTGGGAAGGGAGAAAAGAAGGGGGGAATAGTTTTATAAGTTGTGTGTTGTTTCTCAATTTGATCCTTTTACATGGTTTTGTATGTATTGTGGTATTTTATGCATTGTGACGCAGTTATTTCTATTGAATAATTTCTAGTAATTATTTATTGTACTTGTTAAGAGTGAATTTCTGTTCAATTATTATTTGCTGATGCTTTGAGAGTTAATTTTATTGTGTACTATTATATTCCAATAGATTGTTGAATATTACTTTCTTTGATATGTCATTCGACTTTAAAGTTATGTTTTATGATGACTTTCTGTATTATTATAAGGTGTGTGTTCTTTGCTATATATTTTGTTGCTGTGTAAGCCACCTTCTACACACTAATGCAGAAAGGCAGTATACAAAATAAACGTGAAATGGAAAAATGAAAGGGAAATGTCTCTGAATATCAGTTGCCAGGAATCACAAGTGGGGGAAGTTGCTGTCTAATTCCTGCTTGTGGGCTTCTTAGAAGCATCTGGTTAGCCACTGTGAGAACAGGATACTGGACTAGAAGGGTCTTTAGCTTAACCTAGCAGGCTCTTCTTGTGCCCTCACCAGTTTGTCCTCATCAGTTTATTGCTCACTGAGCAACAGTATCCTGTTGCTCAGCTGTCATTCCAATTGCACAAAGTGAACAAGAAATTGTCAGAAGTGTTGTCAATGATGAGTGTTATATTTGGACTGATACAGCAGGGCTCCTCTTACGTTCTTAATGTTTGAGGAAGGTGGACAAAAGCTTCAAACCAAAGTGCACTACATTGCTTTTTCCCTGTTTGAAAAGCCTTTTACAAGAATCTCCATACTGCTCTTTAAATCTACAAGACCTGGACATTCAGAGAGCAGCTTGAGACTGTTTGCAAAAGTGCTTTTAAACAGTCCCATGCTGTTCTTTGAACCTCCAGCAAAGTAGCAGTTGGGACTTCACTTTAAGCTCCTGATTGTCCCTTTGAACACCCATGCTTACATGCTGCACACCTGATATCATGTATGCTGTCGGGTGTAATGTGGGTGGGCTTGACTTGCCCAAAATGGTCTTGTGGGCCTGGCAGACCAAGTTCAACAGGGAGGGGGCTTGGCTGACTGCAGCTGGAAGAGGGGTTCCTCAAAATTGGACTCACTAATGTGAATGGATATATGCCATGCATCTAAGCCATTGAAGACCACTAACAGTGACTCCCTCAAGCATCTCAGTAATTGGGTAGGGATATAAGGAATTATGTAGTCCTAACCCTAGCCCCAACTCTGGAATCAAGTTGTTAAGGGCCTCATAAATGAATACAAGATCCTTGAACCTGGCCAGGTAATGTATGGGCAGACAGTATAAGCTTTTGAGCACCAGAGTTATGTGCTTGTGATAGTTTGCCCCATTTTGCACCAGCTGGAGTTGCCAGACCAGACCCAGGGGTAGCATACCCACCAACATTTCTTTGATGAAAATAGGGATGTCCTAGTCCATTATAATAATTTCATATGACTGGTTTGCCCAGCCACTCCAGGTGGCTTCCAACATATATAAATACATAGTAAAACTATACAGGGCTGCCTTCAGATGTCTTCTAATGGTTGTATTGTTACTTATCTCTTTGGCTCGGGAGTCACACAACTCCATATCTGCCAACATTTCTCTAATGAAAATAGGGACGTCCTAAGGAAAATTGGGACATTCCAGGATCAAATCAGAAACTGGGACAGCTTCAGTAAATCTGGGACTGTCCCTGGAAAATAGGGACACTTGGAGTAATTAAGTTCTTACCCCGAGGTACTACTGTATACAAAACAGTTGGCACTCTATTTCTGAGTTAGCGGAGTCTGTAAACTGAAGCGTCTGTAACCTGAAGCGTCTGTAACCCGAGGTACCACTGTACCTTCTTATCATTCTAGTTGAAGACACTGCAGAGTGGTACCTCGGGGTTAGGGTTAGGGTTGGGGATCATGTAAAAGGATCAAATTCTTACCCCAAGGTACCACTGTATACAAAACAGTTGGCACTCTTTAAAGCAGAGATAGTGAGCTCTGGCCCTCCAGATATTGCTGGATAATAACTCCCATAATCCCTGACTATTAATGCTGACTGGGATAGATGTGAGTTGGAAGTCCAACATTTGGAGAGCCACAGGTTCCGCACACTTCATTCTTCCAAAACTAAAAAGCCTGTCCCAGGAGAGCCACGTACTATCGTTTTGCAAAAACATTGCTGGCCAACTATTTATTTCTTGCGTCACTGATACAAGTGGGCTGTGTGCGCCCCTGCTTGTGATGTTTGCCAGCTCTGCCTACCCCCATCACTAACCTCCCAGAACCCCAGAAGCTTTCATTACCATTCACCCCCATTATATTTTATTAAAGTTTTTTCATAATACAATAAAAGAAAAGAAACCACTATGTCTGAGCCTGGAGACCTCTCAGAGACTTAATCTAAATCCATTCCAGACTGCACTGACCCTTAACTGTCTAGTGTCTGGTATGAAACAAATCAACTGTAGGAGGTGGCTGATTGCCCTCATCCAGTCCAGACCACAGATAGGGAGCCTGTAACCTTCCAAATATGGTTGGACTCCCAACTCCTTACAGCCCTAGCCTGAATAACCAATGGTCAAGAATGATGGGAGTTGGAGTCCAACAATTGTCTGAAGGACCAAAGGTTCTCCACCACTGGTCTAGACCTCTGAAGTTGATCTTCAAGTCAAATATACACAGCCTTAGTCATAGTCAGTTTAAAATGCTGCCACTCGCCCAGGACTCATCATGAAGTGGTATATCACAAAGGGCAAGGGAGGACGGATGCACTGTGCTCTTGAGCACTGACTCAGGCTGGCCTATAACCTGCTCTCTGAGGGGGAAGAAGAATCAAGGAAGTTTGGTTCATGGTTGCCTAGGAACCCCTCAAAAAACAAGCTTCAAGGCAGCAAACCAACCAGTTACACATTCCTCATCTTCTTTCTGTTAAGTTGTGGGTGAACATATCAGATGACACAGCGATTCTTCAAACAGCTCTTGTTTATTCACAGGCCAGAACTGAACTGAACTGAAGGGTTCAGCCAGCCTGCTTATATAGAGCTCCACTCCAACACAACAGTAACCACTTTCTGTAACTATCCAATCACTGAACGTCACTGTCAGGGGTTCAGGAGCAGAGGCAAGGGCAAGGGAGGAAACAGAGAGCGAGGGGGAGGAGGCAGAAGAAAAGATGAGTGATGACGACGACCCGAGATCTCCGAGTCTTTCCAGTGAATCAGAAGATTCACAGAAAGGAGCACCAGTGGCCAGGGCAAGGGGGGAGCCTAGGGGGACACCCCAGGAAGATAGAGCCAGAGGGGACTCAGAGGGGAGCAGTTGGAAATCGGGACCAACGTCACCGCCAGAGAGCAGGGAAGAGGAAGGGCGCCAGGGATCAAGCGCTGGCAACTCACAACAGGGGGGAGGGCACGAGTCAGGAGTGGCCACACCTCCATCGGGGAGCGAAGAAACGGTCAGACGGAAGGTGGAAGGTTGGGCGCGCGCGCCAAGTTCAAATGCACAGGAAGGTGGCGCAGTAGGCAGCCCGGAAAGGGAGCCAGGTCCTAAAGCCCGCCGAAAGGAGGGAGAAGAGTCAGGGGGGTCAGCGTCAGAGGAATCCCGGAAGGAAGAGACCCCGGGGGCAGAGGGACCCAGAGAAGAACAGTCAGGCGGAAAAGGTGGAGCAGGGCTAGGATATTAAGTTGGTGTACAAGGGGCGGAGACTCAGACGGAGCTTCGCCGGTCTAAGCATGAGACGTAGAGTTGCACGCAGCAGCTTGAGAATGGAAACTGTAACTCAATAAAGACTTTTGTTTAATGATCGCTGGCTAGCGTGATCCTCTGTGAGCTAGGATCTGGAAGCAGCTCTGACAGTAAGCTCCGTCTCCTAAATTGTGGGCATCTACGGCCTCGCGGAGAGGAGAGAAAGCGGGTGCCTACTAGCGAGCTCACGAACGGCAGACAATATGACGGCCGAACAGCAGATAGCGGAACTCAGAGAAGCAGTGTCACGACTGAATGCCGAGGCTCTTGCATCCAGGAAGAGAGAGGAGGACGCAGCTGCCGCCTACAGGGACCTCCAGGTCAGGTTGGAAGTGCTTACGAAGCAAGGGCAACTGACACCCAAACCGGAGGGGATTGGGTTGGGGAGACGAACAGGCGGTCTGGTCTCTCACTTCGATGGGAATTTGCAACAGTACCCCAACTTTAGAGCAGATGTAATGTGTGCACTGCAACTGCTGAACAAAGACTTTAGAGATGAGCAAGAGAAGGTGGGATTCATCATGTCCCATTTGCATGGAGATGCTAAAGCATGGCTGCGCAATTTGTGGAGAGATAAGGATCCGGCGCTCCAAAATGCGGATGCCTTTATTAAAGCGATGGATGGGTGCTGTTTATCAAGCATTGACGTGGATCTTGCTCGGCAGCAGATACATGGACTGAAGCAAGGGAGGGCCAGCGTAAGGCAGTACCATGCCCGCTTTTTCGCTTTGGTCAGTGCTCTGGAATGGGACAGAGATTCGGCTCCTGTAAGAGACCTGTTTTGGGAGGGATTGCACGGCTCGGTTAAAGATGAAATTGCGAGGGGGGAGAGACCCCGGACCACGCAGGAGATCGTTCAGAGGGCGCTGGCGGTGGGGGTGCGGCTGGAAGAACGTCCGTGGAGCAGGGACGAAGGGCGTGGAGGGCGCGAACCAGCCAGGGGCTCCTCCTTCCTTCCCAGAGAAGCAGCGCGTGCGCAATCCACGCCCCGCCAGGAGGAGGAGCGGAACCTATGGAGGTTGGAGGTGCAAGGGCTCAGTCAGCAGCCAGAGCCCTAGCACCGGCAGCAGTGAAAGCGAAGCCTCCTAGAGGGAACAGGAAGTGTTACATCTGCGATGATCCACAGCATATGGCGAAAGAGTGTCCCCAGAGGCTCCACAAGCACACTGCAGCCTCAGCAATGGTAACTGCAGCAACGCAGCAAGGAGAACCACGGCAGGGAAACGACGGAGTCTGGCTGGAGAAAGAGGCACTGGGGCCCAGCCAGACGTGTCAGTGAAGCAGTCCCCAGAGATTTTACAGCCCATGGACCCCTCCCGCCCAAACCAGTAGTGAGGCTCACCGCGTCGCTCCAGCTGCCCAATGGCATCACCATGGACGTGCCAATCACCATTGACTCCGGAAGCAATGCGGACTTTATAGGGCAGGACTTTGTCGACCGGCACGCTATACAGTTGCTGCCTGCCACGCTGCCCCTGCAGGTTGTCACGGTGGATGGCAGGGAGCTGCTAGGGGGGCAAGTGGTGAAGCAGACGCCACCAATGGTGATGAGACTTGGGAATCACAGGGAAATCATCAGCTTCAATGTCACTCAACTATCGGACACGCCCATTGTATTGGGCATGAGTTGGCTGGACAAGCACAGCCCGACGCTGGCTTGGTACCAGAGGCAGCTGACCTTCGGCTCTTCCTTTTGCGCTGAACACTGCATCGTGCCCCGGCAGGAAGGAGAGGAAGAGGAGTCACAGCTGCAGCTAGGCACGCTGCAAGCGGTTCCCCACAAGTACGCAGCATTTTTGGAGGTTTTCTGTGAGAAGGAGGCAGACAGGCTACCCCCCCACAGACCATATGACTGCAGAATTGACCTGCTGCCGGGGCGGCGCTGCCCAAAGGGAAGTTGTATTCCATGTCTGAGGACGAACTGCAGGAACTCAAAGAGTTCATAGATCATAATTTGGAGCGCGGTTTCATCCGAGAGTCCAAGGCAGCTGGGGCAGTCCGGTATTCTTTGTTAAGAAGCGGGACACGCCCCAAAAAAGACTTGTAGTGGACTATCGCATTTTGAACAGCGTGACCAAGCCATCGGACTTCCCCATGCCCCGAATCGACGACCTCCTCGCAAAGGTACGGAAGGGCAGCGTGTTCACCAAGTTGGACCTGCGAGGGGCGTACAACCTCATTCGCATGCGGGAAGGAGATGAGTGGAAGACAGCCATGTTCACGCCCCTGGGCACCTACGAATATAGAGTTATGCCTTTTGGATTGCAAAATGGTTCCCACGTTTTTCAAGCTTTCATGCATCACGTGTTGGCGGGGCTCCTCTACAAGACGTGCGTCTGTTTCTTGGATGACATCCTGATCTTTTCGGAATCGCAGCAGGAGCATGACAGGCACGTCAAGGAAGTGCTGAGCAGGCTACAGCAACATAGGCTTTACGCCAAGCTGGAGAAGTGCCAATTCGACGTGACGGAGGTGGATTTCCTGGGCTACAAGTTGTCTGATAAAGGGCTCGCCATGGACAGCACCAAGGTCCGAGCAGTGTTGGATTGGAAAAGCCCACGCAACCGGAAGGAGGTCCAACGGTTTGTCGGCTTTGCGAACTTCTATCGCAAGTTTATCAAAGGCTTTGCCATGCAGACAGCGGCCATCACGGACACGCTCAGCTCCAAGAAAAAGAAGTTCATCTGGACAGAGCAGGCGGAGCAGTCCTTTCAGGCACTCAACCGTCTCTTCGCGTCGGAAGATCAACTGCTACAAGTAAACCACAGCAGGCCGATGAGGGTGGAGACAGACGCTCGGACAGAGCCGTGGGAGCAGTCCTGCTGCAGAAGGACCCGCAGGGGGTTTGGAGGCCGGGAGCGTTTTACTCAAGGAAGCTCAGCAAGTCCGAACAGAACTACACCATCTGGGACAGGGAGTTGCTGGCCATTCATGCAGCGTTCAAAGCGTGGAGGCACTTCCTGATCGGCGCCAAGCACACGGTGCAGGTCTGCACGGACCACAAGAATCTAGAGCACTGGCGCACGGCACAGTTCCTGAACCAGAGGCAGATACGTTGGGCTGAGTTCTTTGCGAATTTCGACTTCCGAATAGAGTATGTCCCGGGGACACCAACATCATGGCGGATGCTCTCTCCCGTAAGCCACAGTATTTGGAGGAGGCAACGCCAGCGGCCGCCATGCACATCTTCGCACCGACAGTGTGGGCGTGCACGGCGGCGACAGTTGACCTGGAGGCGGTGCGACGAGCGTTGCAGGATGACTCCTTCGCGCAAGCAAAGATGGCAGAGGCGCACAGGGGCACGGCAGCGACCGACGAGTTCCAGCTGCGAGATGGTTTGCTCATCCGTAAAGGGGCCATCTACGTGCCGGGAGACGAACTTCGCGCCAAGGTACTGCAGCAGCTGCACGACGCGCCCACTGCCGGGCACTTTGGCAAGGAGAAAACGGTGGAATTAGTAGCCAGAGACTTCTGGTGGCCAGGAATGAGAGGGGAAGTCGCGGACTACGTGGCGAGGTGTGACACCTGCCAGAGGGCCAAACCAGTGCACAGACCGCCGGCCGGACTGCTGGAACCGCTGCAAACTCCGTTCGAACCATGGGAGAGAGTGGCCCTGGACTTTGTCACGGATCTGCCCAGCTCGAGGGGCAAGACGGCTGTGCTGGTGGTGGTGGACTTGTTCTCCAAGATGGCACATTTCATTCCGTGTGCGAAGGTGGCCACGGCGGAACAAACCGCCAAACTGTTCATAGACCACGTGTTCAAGGTTCACGGTCTGCCGCGGTCTATTCTGTCCGACCGAGGGCGACAGTTCATCTCGAACTTCTGGCAGAGGCTGATGGGCTTCCTGAACGTCAAGATCAACCTGGCGTCGGCTAGACACCCGCAGACCAATGGGCAAGCGGAGCGGGTCAATGCCATCATGCAGCAGTACCTGAGATGTTATGCGAATCAACAGCCTGCGACGTGGGTGGATTACCTGCCTCTCGCCGAGTTCGCCTACAACAACACGAAGCACGTGTCCACGGGGGTCACGCCGTTCTTCGCCAACAACGGGAGGCACCCCAGAACCTTCCCGGGACTGGAAAGAATGGGGGAGGGGGAGCCGCAGACAGCAGATGCATTCACGGCCGGAGTTGCAGGAGGTCCACGATCAGCTGCGGCGGCACCTGGAGCTGGCTAAACACGCATACAAGGTACAAGCGGACAAACACAGAAGGGTTGGCGAAGAGATCCATGTGGGAGACTGGGTCTGGTTAGCAGCCCACGCAGTGCCGGCCAGGTCGTTGGCGAAGAAGAAACTAGGGCATAAACAACTGGGGCCCTACCAAGTCGAAGAACAGGTCAACCCGGTGGCTTTCAGGCTGGCTCTTCCGGAGGGTTCCAGAATGCATCCGGTGTTCCACAGATCGGTGCTCACTCCCTACAAGGCACCTCACAGGTTTCAGGAACCAGGAACGGCACCGGGTCCGCTCCGAGAGAGAACCGGGCAGGGGGGAGTGGCACGGGAGGAGCGCATCAACGAAGTCACGGAGATTTTGGACTCCAGATGGGGGGGAAGAGGGGGTAGAATACCTTCTCGCCAAGGAGGGCACCCCGGCCAGTGCCAACAGCTGGGTGCCGGGCTACGCTTTAGACGAACCTCTGCTCAAAGAAGAGTTTCATGCCCTCTTCCCACATAGGCCAATGCCAGCAGACTTTTCGACGACTGGCTTTTCACGCCCACGCTTTCAGCCAGCACGCTCCGGGGTTCGACTCGGACGAGGAACCGACACGAGACGCCCGTTCCCCGGAGGGGTCACCCTCAGGATCTGCTTCAGAACCCTCGTATTGGTGGGATGATCGACCAGAGGAGCAGTTCCGTAGAAGGTGGCTGGAGGGTCCAGGACGAGCAACGTCTCCAGAAGGCAACGAGGGAGAGACGGACATGGACTTTTTCGGGACGACCCGGGTTTCGAGCACGGCGGCACAGAGATGGAAGCGGAGGTGACCGTCGTCAACGAGAGCAGGGAGGAAGAACCGGAAGACTTCAGATGGCGGCCCGCCACGGGAAGCGAACTGTATCCGACATTCGTCCCCCTGACACGGCAGCACCCAGATCCCGCACCGGAAGGAGGGGAGGGGGAAGAGGGGGCTTCGAGGGGGGGATGGATGTCAGGGGTTCAGGAGCAGAGGCAAGGGCAAGGGAGGAAACAGAGAGCGAGGGGGAGGAGGCAGAAGAAAAGATGAGTGATGACGACGACCCGAGATCTCCGAGTCTTTCCAGTGAATCAGAAGATTCACAGAAAGGAGCACCAGTGGCCAGGGCAAGGGGGGAGCCTAGGGGGACACCCCAGGAAGATAGAGCCAGAGGGGACTCAGAGGGGAGCAGTTGGAAATCGGGACCAACGTCACCGCCAGAGAGCAGGGAAGAGGAAGGGCGCCAGGGATCAAGCGCTGGCAACTCACAACAGGGGGGAGGGCACGAGTCAGGAGTGGCCACACCTCCATCGGGGAGCGAAGAAACGGTCAGACGGAAGGTGGAAGGTTGGGCGCGCGCGCCAAGTTCAAATGCACAGGAAGGTGGCGCAGTAGGCAGCCCGGAAAGGGAGCCAGGTCCCAAAGCCCGCCGAAAGGAGGGAGAAGAGTCAGGGAGTCATCGCCAGCGTCAGAGGAATCCCGGAAGGAAGAGACCCCGGGGGGGCAGAGGGACCCAGAGAAGAACAGTCAGGCGGAAAAGGTGGAGCAGGGCTAGGATATTAAGTTGGTGTACAAGGGGCGGAGACTCAGACGGAGCTTCGCCGGTCTAAGCATGAGACGTAGAGTTGCACGCAGCAGCTTGAGAATGGAAACTGTAACTCAATAAAGACTTTTGTTTAATGATCGCTGGCTAGCGTGATCCTCTGTGAGCTAGGATCTGGAAGCAGCTCTGACAGTCACTTTTAATCCCTTATTTGCATATGTGGACCTGAGTGAAAACTAACTACAGTATCCCCCTGCGGGCCCAGGTGAGAACTTCAGTACATAACACCCCTCCCCACCGAGATAAGGCGTTAGTTGCAATCGTAATGGTTTCCTTATATACAGCACTACACGTAATGGTTCAATTAGGCACAAAAGCATATCGTTTCCATTTCACTTACTTCCATTAGACCGACAGTGTTACATGTCCAACAACATAGTCCTTTAAATAAGTTGGGCACTTGGAAACTCTGCCAGACCGCCGGGGTCCGGGGGGGCCGCCTGATTCTTGCTGAGGCTGTGGTGCGACCCTAGGTGGCGTTGAAACCAAGTCCCCTGGATCCACTGCTGTGGGTGGAACCTCCGCGAGTGGAGTTGGCGGAATGTCAGGCACAGCAGTGGTCTGAGTCTGTGGGAAGTCTGGCAGACCCTCTAAAGCAGCTTGGTTCGGCTCCACGCCCGCAGTTTGCAAGAGAGGTATAGGTGGAGCCTCGCCATCTGTAAGTGTCTGTTCCGGAGCCACGAGCACAGTTGGGGGTACCATAGTAGTGTCCAAGTCCCCAACCCTGCGCCTAAGCTGGTCTATGTGCCGGTGCCACAAACGTCCGTTTTCCAGGGCCACCTGGTATGAGCAAGGTCCAGTGACTCCCACTACTGTGGCTGGCACCCAAGGAATGTCCCCCACAAAGTTCCAGGTGAAGACCTGGTTGCCTGGAACAAATGACCGTGGTGCATTGGCACAGCCTGAGGGTTCAGCCACAGCAAAGTCTGGGTGCAGCCGGTCGAGCGGGGACCTGAGGCGGCGGCCCATAAGCAGATGCGAAGGCCACAGTGGCAGCTGAAACAGGTGCTGCCAGAAGATCCTCAGTCAGGAGGAGCGATGAAGCAGGAGCCAGGTCTTCCACAAACACTGGAAGAGGGCAACGGCTGAGGGCGTCAGCATGGCCCATCGATTTTCCTGGGCGATGGACGAGCTGGTAGTGGTAGGCAGCCAGACCATATTTTGCGCTCTCCTCTTTCACCCTCATTAAAAGGTTCTTTAATTCATCCTCACTTTCTGCCATCAAGGTTGTGTCATCTGCATATCTGAGGTTATTGATATTTCTTCCAGCAACTTGCCATAGTTTGCTGTGGTCAGTCAAAGGCTTTTGCATAGTCAATGAAGCAGAAGTAGATGTCTTTCTGGAACTCTCTAGCTTTCTCCATAATCCAGCGCATGTTTGCATTTTGGTCTCTGGTTCCTCTGCCCCTTCAAAATCCAGCTTGGACTTCTGGGAGTTCACATATTGCTTAAGCCTGCCTTGTAGAATTTTAAGCATAACCTTGCTAGCGTGTGAAATGAGTGCAATTGTGTGGTAGTTGGAGCATTCTTTGGCATTGCCCTTCTTTGGGATTGGGATGTATACTGATCTTCTCCAATCCTCTGGCCGCTGCTGAGTTTTCCAAACTTGCTGGCATATTGAGTGTAGCACCTTAACAGCATCATCTTTTAAAATTTTAAATAGTTCAGCTGGAATATCATCACTTCCACTGGCCTTGTTATTTGCAGTGCTTTCTAAGGCCCATTTGACTTCACTCTCCAGGATGCCTGGCTCAAGGTCAGCAACCACACTACCTGGGGTGTGTGAGACGTCCATATCTTTCTGATATAATTCCTCTGTGTATTCTTGCCACCTCTTCTTGATGTCTTCTGCTTCTGTTAGGTCCTTACCACTTTTGTCCTTTATTATGGTAATCTTTGTACGAAATGTTCCTTTCATATCTCCAATTTTCTTGAACAAATCTCTGGTTTTTCCCATTCTATTGTGTCAAGGCTGCCTCTTCCTCGCTGGCTTGGAATTCCTCCCCATCGCTCTCCATCTCCTGCCTACCCTGTCCCTCTCTCCCTGAACCCCTGACATATTGTTTTCCTCTATTTCTTTGCATTGCTCATTTAAGAAGGCCTTCTTGCCTCTCCTTGCTATTTTTTGGAAATCTGCATTCAATTTCCTGTATCTTTCACTATCTCCCTCACAATTTGCTTGCCTTCTCTCCACCGCTATTTGTAAGGCCTCGTTGGACAGCCACTTTGCCTTCTTGCATTTCCTTTTCATTGGGATGGTTTTCATTGCTGCCTCCTGTATAATGTAACAAGCCTCTATCCATAGTTTCTTCAGGCACTCTGTCTAAATCTAAATCTTTAAACCTGTTCCTCACTTCCACTGTGTATTCACAAGGGATTTGATTTAGATTGTATCTTACTGGCCCAGTGGTTTTTCCTACTTTCTTCAGTTTAAGCTTGAATTTTGCTATAAGTTGCTGATGATCTGAGCCACAGTCAGCTCCAGGTCTTGTTTTTGCTGACTGTATAGAGCTACTCTATCGTTGGCTGCAGAGAATATAATCAATCTGATTTCGATGCTGCCCATCTGGTGATGTCCATGTGTAGAGTCGTCTCTTGTGTTGTTGGAAAAGAGTGTTTGTGATGACCAGCTTGTTCTCTTGGCCATATTAGCCGGATCCAAAGAAGTTTTTTTAAAGAAACGGTTTAATAACCGTCTCTTTCAGCAGATCTGGGAAGGGGCCTTCTCTGGCCAAAATTTGGGTCTAGGCTGCTCTTCTAGACAAGTAGAATGTTGCTGTTGTTGCTGTTAATTTTGTGTATGAATTGCTTCCTGATACAAATTTAGGCAATGCTGAAGATGCACCTCTTTACTTGACCTTTGACACCTGTGTGTTTTCAGGGCCCACCATATCCTTGTGAATGTAATATGTTTTAACTGTTTTTATTTCTGATTTTAAAATTGTTGTAATTCACACTTAAATCTGCTGGTGAAGGGTGGGTAATATATAAATAAATAATAATAATACTAAATCATAGGTCCATTCTGTCCAATTGTCCCCTTCTATCCCATGGCATAGGTTTTGTATACTTTTTGCGTAAGTTTTGTATGTAAAATACACTTTCAAAGCATTCACCATTAAAATATGCATTTTGTTTGCATCCTTTATAAAAATATATATTTCTCTACACAGTTTTTGAGGACTGCAGAAAGTGAAGAAGTTGAATTCCAACTAGAGGTTGTGTTCACACACACAGTTGGGAGTTTCTGATCAGGTTGGTCCACTCCAAAAAGCAGGCTAAATGAATTCCTCGCATCCCTAGTTAAAATGCCTCTTAAATAAATATAAACAATTTCATGAAACATTCAGATACAGTATCTATCCTACTGAGTTATTAATGCTGATTGTTTAAACTTAAAAAAACCTAACAAGAACTTGCTGCTGCATAAATGATTTAATGGCTGTTTGTTATTTAATATAATTACCAGAGTGAGGATATGCATAAATTTAATGCCTGCAATATTTCTTTTCTAATATGTAGTTTATGTCTACATTGTTTCAAATATGCATATTGATATGTTACACTACAAGCCTAAACCATGCTGAAAACTGGCTGATGGGGTTTCAGATGACACAGAAGTGTTCTCCAAGATACCAAGAGAGGATCTGCCATTGGGCCGGCATCTGCCCTAAAGACCCCTGGTATACCTGTGGAAAGTTCCACAGGCAGGCGTGCCAGCTTGGCCCTGCGACCATGGGTGCCTGGGGCCATGGGTGCCACGCAGTGTCATTTAGAATGATGTCAGGGGTTCAGGGACAGAGGCACAGGGTAGGCAGGAGATGGAGAGCGATGGGGATGAATCCCAGGACAGCGAGGAAGAGGATGACAATGACTCAAGAGATTCCATGAGTCTTTCCAGCGAATCAGAGGATTCCCAGAAGGGGCGCCGGTGGTCAAGGCCAGGAGCCCCAGGGGGACGTGTCAGGAGCAGGGGCCAGCAGGGGATCCCAAAGTGGCAGCTGGGCGTCAGGACCAGCCTCCCGCCAGAGTGCAGCGAAGGGGGTGGAGGTTCCAGTGTATCAGGGGAAGCAGCTCCGGCAGCAGAGAAGGGAGGGAGGTCGGAGCAAGCCACCCTCCCGGCAGGGGTGGGGAGTAGTGCAGGGCGGTGTGTCACTGTCAAAAGGAAGGTTAGAGGCTGGGCGCGCGCGCCAAGTTCAAATGTGGAGGCGCGCGGAAGTACAGGGAGCCCGGAGGAGGAGCCAGGTCCCAAAGCCCGCAGGAGGGGGGAAGAGCAATCTGGAGATTCCGCCTCAGGGGAATCCAGGAGGGGCGAAACCCCAGGGGGCAGGAAGACCCTGCGGAAAAGGAAAGAGAGGAAGAGGTGGAGCAGCGCAAGCTTCTTAAACTGGTGCAGGGGAGGGACTGACTCAGAGGGGACTTCAACGGTCTAAGCGTAACAGACGTGGGGCTGTGCGCCTCGGATGTGAAGCAGACAATGAACTCCAATAAACACTTTTGTATATAAGAAGAAGTTGGCGTTGGTCTTTTGTGAGCTGAGACCTGAGGCAGCCCTGACAAATGAGGAAACCTGTAGAGCCTGAGGGTGCCATTCCTTTCTAGGCAGCCTCTAGGCCATGGGTCTGTGGTTTGTGGGGGTCAGATGATGGAGCAGTGGATATGAATACAATACACCTCGAATTACAAATGGCTCATGTTACAAATGCTTCAGGTTACAAACTCCACTAACCTGGAAGAGTTACCTTGAGTTGAGAACTTTGCCCCAGGATGAGAACAGAAATGGTGTGCCAGCGGCGCAGCAGCAGTTAGAGGCCCCATTAGCGAAAGCACGCCTCTAGTTAAGAACAGTTTCAGGTTAAGAACAGACCTCCAGAACGAATTAAGTTCGTAACTAGAGGTACCATTGTACTACCTCTGTACACACTAGGCTAGTTCCCATACATACTCACACTCCCTTTTCTATCCTCATCCAGGCAGCCAAGAAGCACCATAAGAGTTCAGGGACACATTCTAGGCAGGCAGAAATGCTGGCATGCTCTCCCACATTTCACTGATGAAAATAGGGACCGTCTATTCCATCACCACCATCATCATTTTATTATTTTATTATTTATACCTTGCTCATCCAGCAGGGTTGTGCTAGCCACCACATATATAAAAACATAATAAAACATTAAATATTTTTTAAAACTTCCCTATACAGGGCTGCCTTCAGATGTCTTCTAAAGGTTGTATAGTTACTTGTCTCCTTGGCTTGGGGGTTGCATAACTCCAGTGCTTTTATTCTTAAAAAATGTTTAGGTGTACTCTCATTTTCCTACTCATATTGAAATACTGCCCCTCAATGAGGCCAAACTTAGATTCACAAAATGTTTAGGGGTATGCCTACCCCTGCTTCCCCCCCAGAAAAAACCCACTGCATAACTCCATATCCTCCAACATTTCTCCAGTGAAAATAGGGACGTCCTTAGGAAAAGCAGGACATTCTGGGATCAAATTATAAACTGAGACAGCTTCTGTAAATCCAGTACAGTCCCTGGAAAATAGGGACACTTGGAGGGTCTGCACTGTTGCACGTAAAATGGGGATGTGGCCTGGCAAGAGTCTCAAGGGCCAATCACATTCAGCACCTGGGCCTACAGTTCTGCATCCCTGTTTTAGAAGTACAGAAACACCTGCCTTCCTTTATATCCGATCGCCTGACTGTGAGCAGGTTCCTTCTGCACCTTACTGCTCCGCTTCCCTCATTAAGGTATTATTTCTCAGCCTTTCCCGCAGTTCTTCAAGGAATCAGCTCACAGAGCACAGCTAAGGGAGGGCTTTTTTATTTTAAATGGTCCCAAGGTGACTGCATTTAATGGTGAAGCTGTCCCTGCAGGCAAGCAGCTGCGCAGGGGCCTTTTACAAGCCTGGTTGTAAGGCGTGAGCTGTGTGAGGAATGCCTGTTTTCCATGGAGATGACATATTTCATTTTAAGCCTTATGTTGATTTAGGGGAGTAACTAAAGCTTTGTTGCACAAGGTTAAGAAGAGCAATTGCATAATGATATTTCCAGAGCAACTGCAGGCAAAGAGGAACTCATGGGACCATGGGACCAGGAGGGGGGGAGCAGCTGCCCCCGAAATCAAGTAACTTACCTAAATCAAGTAAATGAACTGACCAACTGTGTCACACATAACTCAGTAAAGCCCCCCCTCAATGAGAAGAGCCAGTTTGCTCCAGTCTGTAAGCCTTAGTAGGGATAGGAAATGGCTTTTGTAATTAGAGTGGCAAATGACAGTTCCCTATCTGAAGGATTCAAGTCCAGGTTAAAGATAAAGAACCGTAAGAACGGAATGCAGGAGGTGCCCTAAAGCTGCCCACCAAACAGCCCCAGGACAGCTGTGTGACCTGGTGATACTTCTCCAAGATAAGATGGATTGTATGTTTGTTTAAAGGTAAAGGGACCCCTGACCATTAGGTCCAGTTGTGGCCGACTCTGGGGGGATTTCAGGGGGAGAGATGAAGTCTGCAATCCTGCTAGGGTGATCACTTGCACATGTCAAGAAGAAGGAAAAAAGAGGACAAAAGATCTGCGAAATCTTGCATTAAAAATTAGCATAAAAATTGCATTTGCTAATGTATATAGATGGAAGTCAATTTAGAAGGAATGTCTTTAATTTAAATGCAAATGCAACATCTCACCATAGTGAAGAAGGCTATGACCAGGTGATCTGTGTGCCTGCTCAGTCTGCTGTTCCACTACTCTTACGCAGCATCACTTACAAGTAAATAAGTGGACCTAAAATAAATGGACTCACACTGTTGGCCCTATTTAGTCTCATCCACACTTACCTTTCACCCTGCACTTTCTAGCTCTGCCCTTTAAAGTGCCATATTGCTCCTTTTTTCCTTTACTGCTGAATCGGAACAAGTGGCAATTCAGGTTTTCCACTGCTCCAATTCAGCAGTAAAGAGAGGGTTTTCATGGGGAAAGTGCAATGTACTTGGACAGCACCTGTGCCTAGAAACATGGCACAAAAGGGAGTCTGGATGAGCCCTAAGGGTCCTTCAAATTTTAAATGTGGGGGAGAGATATGCGCCTCAGCTGATCAAACACTTGGGAAGCAATGTGTTAATTTGTTGAGCAAAGTCACATTGGCAAGCCTCAAGGGATCTTATCATGAAAGTAAGGCTCATATAGTGGTTTCTAAGATTTGGATGGCTCACAGAGAGTTTCAGAATCTATCGCTTGCTTTTCTCAAGAGCAGTACAGCCACTCCATGAGGTCACACAAACAAAGCCCTTCCCCTCACCTTCCCCTATGACTCAGCATAGCCTGCATGTGACCAACTGGTCTAAACCACTTCATGGTGGTTTGCAACTGTGGCCTGAGGTGAGGGACTCCAGTAAACAGAAATGTTTCTACACACATTCCCTGAGGGAGGTCAGAACCAGAAAAGAAAAGTTGAAGTTTGGGGGTGGGAGGGAAGCATAGGAACACAGGAAGCTGCCCTACACTAAATCTATCTAGTTCAGTATTGTCTACACCGATTGGAAACAGCTGCCTAGTATAGGAAGGAGTCTTCCTCAGCTATACCTGGAGACGTTAAGGATTGAACCTGTGATCATTGCATGCAAAGCAGATGCTCTCCCATTGAGCTACAGCAACATTAGCATGATGCAACACCCAGGCAGGAGCTTTTGGTCCCTTTTAGGGGAAGCAAACTAAGGAGATGGTTCTGAGCCCAGAGAGGTCAGGGCCGTAGCCAGGGGGTGGCAAGGTGGGCTCCTGCCGGGGCACGGGTAGGGGTTGCAAAATTGGCTGCTGAGACCTTTCGCCAGGCGCCCTGTCCGGCCAGCGCTCCCTGCCTGTAGCCCAGGCAGGACGCGGGAAAGCCCTGGCTGCACCCGTGCCCCTTGACCCTCCTATCAGCCGGGCGCCGCGGCTTGGCTGGCTGGGCAGCCTGGTGGAGCCTTTGCATGCCCCAGCCCAGCTCTGCCTCTCTCAGACCTCGCTTGGGGTCGGGACTGGGAAGCTCCACCAACCTCAGCCCCTAACACTGCCCAGCCCACCTCACTGCCCAACCCCCTGCCCCTCCATTGTGTAAGTCTCTCGGATGGTGGGAATTCTCCATCAGGGCAGAAGCACCTCCTTACGACAGCGAAGGAAACTCCTCACAGGCTTTCCTGTGTTGGGAAATGGCCAACTGAATGCATTAGGTCAGCTACTCTGGCTACACCCCACAGAGAGGCAATGGTTTTCCTTCACTTTGGGAACAGCCAAAATACGCTCGTTCCCCTTGTAATAAACGGAAATCTGCCCTTATAGAGTCCTTTGTAGGTTCTCCATTGGTCGGAGGAAAGAACAGAGGCCAACCAGAGATATTGAGAAGCAAAGCAAGGTGTGTCCACCCTCATATAGACATTTTAAATTGCCAGCCCTGGAGTCCAAGCCCACCACCAGAAACACCAAATAATAATAATAACAATAATAATAATAATAATAATACTTTTTATATATACCCCGCCCTCCCCAGCCAAGGCTGGGCTCAGGGCGACTAACAAGCAATAGTAAAAACAAGTTGAATGAATACAACTTAAAAACAAGATTAAAATACAACATTAAAATATTGAAACATTAAAATATTAAAATGCAGCCTCATCACAGGAGGAGAAAGGAAAAAGGAAAAAGAAAGGGGGAGGGAATCAAATTGGCTCCAAGCCAAAGGCCAGGTGGAACAACTCTGTCTTACAGGCCCTGCGGAAAGAAATCAGATCCTGCAGGGCCCTGGTCTCATGAGGCAGAGCGTTCCACCAGGCCGGAGCCAGTGTTGAAAAGGCCCTGGCTCTGGTTGAAGCTAATCTAACTTCCTTAGGGCCTGGGACCACTAGGGTGTTGCTATTTATGGACCTTGAGGCTCTCCGTGGGGCATACTGGGAGAGGCGGTCCCGTAGGTACGAGGGTCCTAGGCCGTGAAGGGCTTTAAAGGTCAAAACCAGCACCTTAAATCTGACCCTGTACTCCACCGGGAGCCAGTGCAGCTGGAAAAGCACTGGGTGAATATGCTCCCATTGCAGAGACCCTGTGAGGAGCCTCGTTGCAGTATTCTGCACCCACTGGAGTTTCTGGGACAGCTTCAAGGGCAGCCCCGTGTAGAGCAAATTACAGTAGTCAAGCCTGGAGGTGACCGTCACGTGGGTCACTGTGGCCAGGTCAGGGCGGGAAAGGTAGGATGAGGATGGCAGGACACTAGGAGTGCAGTTAACAAGAGGAAAAGAGAAACTAATATTGGTGGTATTCCCAAATGGAAATAAAACAAGATTCTTTAAAACACTGGAGGAAAAGCTATTGGAATATAAAAATGAGGACATGATTCTTATGGGGGACCTCAACGTCAGTAGAACAAGATAGAATGGAAAGGGAGAAAACATCTAAAGAAGGGAAACTTTCAAAATCCTTCTTCCAAATGAAGAAGACTTGAATCTAATTGACACCTGGAGAGATAAACATGTAGAAGAGAGACAATATGCATACTATTCAGAAGCCAGAAAATCTGCAGGCCAAATAGATGGAATATGGATTTTGAGTAACTTAAGGATATCAATTAAGAAATTTGAGATTCAACCCAAATCAATATCAGATCATAATCTGATGACGTTAGAATTAAGAAGTAATAAGAAGATATGTAAAAGATGGAGAATGAATGAAAGAATTCTAAATGATGATAAAATACTTCAAAAAGCCAAAGAAGCATAAAAGAATTTTTTGAAATAAATATGGCTCAAGAGACAGATATTAAGAGTCATCTGGGATGCAGGAAAGGCCTTTATCAGAGGATTTTACATTCAACAAAACATAATACAAAAAAGAAATAGAGAAAAGAAATTAAATCAGATTAGGCAAGAAATAGCATTGAATGAGAATATATTGGTGAAAAATCAAAAAAACAAAATTGCAAATCAAAATATTAAAATATTACAATCTCAGTTTTCATCACTCTTAACTCAAGAGATAGAGAATAACATCAAATGGATGAAACAGAAATTTTGAGCTTGCAAACAAACCAGGTAAACTGGTGGCATGGCAGTTAAAAAATAAACAGAGCAAAACAAATGGATAAAATAGTCCAAGAAGGGAAAGTAATTGATAACCAAGAAGGAATAATCAATTGCTTCTTGGGTTATTTTCAAAATTTATGTAAGGTAGGAATAGAGGAAGAACAGGACATATTAAAGTATCTTCAAGGGACATATATCCCAAGAATAGCAGAAGACAAAATTGACCAACTAAATTCTCCAATTACCATGATGGAGATACATCTGGTCTTCTCACAATCAAAGTTGGGCAAATCTCCAGACCCAGACAGGCTATTGGCAGCTCATTACAAAAAATTGGAGGAGATAATAGCCTTAAACTTTGAGATTTTCGCTGTCCCACGCTGCGTAGCTTACTTATGCATCCCTGTGTTTAGAGGGAGGCCAACATAAGCTAGAGACAGTTGCCTGGACGAATTTTCTTTTATGCTGGCTAAACATTTGTTTTTCAGCAGACAAAGATACTTTATTTAGTGAAGTTCTGTTAGACTCCTTCCCTTCCTCAGGGCTACAACTGTTTTGCACAAAGATACGGCAACTCAGACTCCACAGTTTTCATCTCTCTAAATTATCCATATCTTTCATTTCTTTACAAGTTATTTTTAAAGTCCAGCTAATGTTTTTATTTGTTTACAATGGTCTCCTAAGTAAGTTATGAATTTTTCCCATTCTTTTAAAAAGTCATTATCTTCTTGATTCCTCCCAGTCAGTTTTGCCATTTCAGCATACCGTATTTTTTGCTCTATAACACGCACCTGACCATAACACGCACATCGTTTTTAGAGGAGGAAAACAGGGGGGGGGGAATTCTGAATGAAACAGTGGATCATTTTTGTGCTTCATGCTGTGGCCACAGACATGTGATCTGATGGTGAATTTGGGGTGACCCAATGCAAAAATCCTGAGAATCCCTGTGGATTCATGCTTTATAACCACGTTTTTGCACCATTGTGGCCCCAGGCAACAGTGGGTGCGTGATTTTTTTGGTGCAGGCTGTAGCCATGGACATGCTATGTGATCTGATGGTGAATTTGGGGTGACCCAATGCAAAGATCCTGAGGATCCATGTGGATCCATGCTTTGCAACTACATTTTAAGTGGGGAGGGAAGGAAAAACACAGAAGGGACAAGGAGCCTAAGAATGCAGGAGAGGGATTTAACGGGAGGGAGGAAAGAAAGGCAAAAGTCCCCCCACCCCACCCAAGCCAGCCCTCTCTCTCCCTCTCTCTCTCTCTCCCTCTCTCCCACCTGCATGTTTTCTGGCTGCCTGCGAGGAGCAGGGAGAGGAATTAGAAGGAAGGACGCTCTGCTTTCCCCTCTGCTTGCCTGGAGGGGAGGGGATTTGCCTGCTCTTTGTTCCGTTTGAGCAAACACAGCAACGAAACACAAGTGGGTGGGCAGTAAGACCCTGAGGCAGAATGCAGGAAAGCAGCAACTTCCTCTTTTCAGGTTTCCCTTCTCCGACACGCGATTTGATTTTTGACTGATTTTTATTCCTGCGCTCGCCCTAGTCGGCTCCAGGGACCACACATTCGCTCAATAACACGCACAGACATTTCCCCTTCCTTTTTAGGAGAAAAAATCTGCGTGTTATAGAGAGAAAAATACGGTAGTCCAGCAGTTTGGCTTGCCATTCTTTACTAGTCAGGACTGTTGATTCTTTCCATCTTTGGGCTAGTAGCATCCTTGCAGCTGTTGTCGCATACATAAACAGTATTTTCTTGTCTTTTGGGATATCAGAACCTGTAGTTCCTAATAGACAAGCTTCTGGTTTTTTAACTTTTTAAAAAACATTTTAAACATTTCTTTTCAATTCATTGTATATCAATTCCCAAAATTTCTTTACACTTCCAACAAATATTGGAGCTTGTTCTGTACATTTTAGATAACTTAGTAGGAGTCAGATACCGCGGGTACATCATTTTCATATAATTTTCTTTCAGCATACAACATGCTGTGCATTTCAGATCTGTTCTCCATAGCCTCTCCCAATCTGCCATTTGTATGTTATCTCCTAAGTCCTTTGCCCAGTTTATCAGAGCAAATTTAACCTGTTCATCTTTTGTATGCCATTCTAGGAGCAGGTTACACATTTTTGACAGAGTTTAAATTTATTTTCTAGAAGTTCTTTTTGGAATCTTGATATCTCATAACTAAAACCTCTCTTTTTGTCAGTCTTGAAGATATCATTCAATTGAAAATACTGTAATCAATCTGTTACTAGTTCCCTTGTTATTGTTATTTACTCGTGTCCGACTCTTCGTGACCCCATGGACCAGAGCACGCCAGGCACTCCTGTCTTCCACTGCCTCCCGCAGTTTGGTCAAACTCATGTTCGTAGCTTCGAGAACACTGTCCAACCATCTCGCCCTCTGTCATCCCCTTCTCCTTGTGCCCTCAATCTTTCCCAACATCAGGGTCTTTTCCAGGGAGTCTTCTCTTCTCATGAGGTGGGCAAAGTATTGAAGCTTCAGGATCTGTCCTTCCAGTGAGCACTCAGGGCTGATTTCCTTAAGAATGGATACGTTTGATCTTCTTGCAGTCCATGGGACTCTCAAGAGTCTCCTCCAGCACCATAATTCAAAAGCATCAATTCTTCAACGATCAGCCTTCTTTATGATCCAGCTCTCACTTCCATACATCGCTACTGGGAAAACCATGGCTTTAACTATACTGGCCTTTGTTGGCAAGGTGATATCTCGGCTTTTGTGATGGCCTGGGATTCGGACTCGGAGGCTGAAGCTGAGGAATCCCAGCCTGCACAGGATTCCCCGCCTCCAGAACCAGCTGAGCCGGGGCTGGGGCTTGAGCCTGAAGGGTCCTCACCTGTGCTGGATCCTCAGGTGCAGGCACCAGCTGAGTCTGCTCTGGCTCCTGAGGAGATGGAGGACCCATTGCCTGCAGGTGCTCCACTCTCAGCCCCGTCAGGGGAAGCTGAGGTTGCCTCTGGGTCCGGTAACCCTCCAGCCTCTCCTGAGCTGCAGAGGCTCAGGGCAGAGAGGCGGAGGGAACTAAGTTCCTGCAAGAGGAGTGCTCGCCTCCAGGCCAGGAGAGGCAAGTCACCTGTGGCCCAGGATCGCCCTATGCCTCAGGGCAGATAAAAGCTAACCAGCCCCAGCCCCAAGTTGCGGGAGCAACATTGTTGCTAGCCAGTTCCTGCCTGCACCCTGTCCTGCCGGAGCTCCTGACCTCATCCGCCTTGGACCCAGCTTCAGCTTTGACGGTCTGCCTCCGGTGCACCCTTCGACCTTGGACTGGACTCAGACCTCGCCTCATGGATAACCCACGGACCAGCACAGCTTTTTAAGATGCTGCCTAGGTTTGTCATTACTTTTCTCCCAAGAAGCAAGCGTCTTTTAATTTCGTGACTGCTGTCACCATCTGCAGTGATCATGGAGCCCAAGAAAGTAAAATCTCTCACTGCCTCCATTTCTTCCCCTTCTATTTGCCAGGAGGTGATGAGCTCAGTGGCCATGATCTTAGTTTTTTTGATGTTGAGCTTCAGACCACATTTTGCACTCACCTCTTTCACCCTCATTAAAAGGTTCTTTAATTCCTCCTCACTTTCTGCCATCAAGGTTGTGTCATTTGCATATCTGAGGTGTGACGCGGCAGCTAAAAAAGCCAATGCAATTCTGGGCTGCATCAATAGGAGTATAGCATCTAGATCAAGGGAAGTAATAGTGCCACTGTATTCTGCTCTGGTCAGACCTCACCTGGAGTACTGTGTCCAGTTCTGGGCACCACAGTTCAAGAAGGACACTGACAAACTGGAACGTGTCCAGAGGAGGGCAACCAAAATGGTCAAAGGCCTGGAAACAATGCCTTATGAGGAACGGCTAAGGGAGCTGGGCATGTTTAGCCTGGAGAAGAGGAGGTTAAGAGGCGATATGATAGCCATGTTCAAATATAGAAAAGGATGTCACATAGAGGAGGGAGAAAGGTTGTTTTCTGCTGCTCCAGAGAAGCGGACACGGAGCAATGGATCCAAACTACAAGAAAGAAGATTCCACCTAAACATTAGGAAGAACTTCCTGACAGTAAGAGCTGTTCGACAGTGGAATTTGCTGCCAAGGAGTGTGGTGGAGTCTCCTTCTTTGGAGGTCTTTAAGCAGAGGCTTGACAACCATATGTCAGGAGTGCTCTGATGGTGTTTCCTGCTTGGCAGGGGGTTGGACTCGATGGCCCTTGTGGTCTCTTCCAACTCTATGATTCTATGATTCTATGAGGTTATTGATATTTCTTCTGGCAATCTTAATTCCGGTTTGGGATTCATCCAGCCCAGCCTTTCGCATGATGAATTCTGCATATAAGTTAAATAAGCAGGGAGACAATATACAGCCTTGCCGTACTTCTTTCCCAATTTTGAACCATTCAGTTGTTCCATATCCAGTTCTAACTGTAGCTTCTTGTCCCACATAGAGATTTCTCAGAAGACAGATGAGGTGATCAGGCACTCCCATTTCTTTAAGAACTTGCCGTAGTTTGCTGTGGTTGACACAGTCAAAGGCTTTTGCATAGTCAATGAAGCAGAAGTAGATGTCTTTCTGGAACTCTCTAGCTTTCTCCATAATCCAGCGCATGTTTGCATTTTGGTCTCTGGTTCCTCTGCCCCTTCAAAATCCAGCTTGGACTTCTGGGAATTCTCCGTCCACATACTGCTTAAGCCTGCCTTGTAGAATTTTAAGCATAACCTTGCTAGTGTGTGAAATGAGTGCAATTGTGCAGTAGTTGGGGCATTCTTTGGCACTGCCCTTCTTTGGGATTGGGATGTAGACTGATCTTCTCCAATCCTCTGGCCACTACTGAGTTTTCCAAAATTGCTGGCATATTGAGTGTAGCACCTTAACAGCATCATCTTTTAAAATTTTAAATAGTTCAGCTGGAATATCATCACTTCCACTGGCCTTGTTATTAGCAGTGCTTTCTAAGGCCCATTTGACTTCCCTTATCTCTTCAAAATCTTTTAGTTTTAACTGATTTTCCACTTCAGTTAGAAGCTCTCTATGTCAGCCAATTACTTCTCATGTTCACTTTTCTCAAAGATATTGCTTCCAAAAGAGGAAAACCACCAGCGTGTTTTTTGCTCAAATAATTTTTTATAATTTTCCTCTACCCTAAAGATTGATTTTCTTCTTATATGATTCTGAAATGCTTTATGGAGCTTTGGTTTTTCATACCATAGGTATGCATGCCACTCAAATCTATTATCATGCCCTTCTAAATGTCCTTTCCAGCATAATCCAGTCCCGAATCCAGCAGGTAAAGGATGCTTCATAATAAGGTTTTAAATGTGGTAGTGTGAAACCTCCTCTCTCTTGCGTCTGTTAATAATTTTTATTTTATCCTTGGTTTTCCCCCCTGCCAGATAAACCTGGATATGTCTTTGCCATTGCTCAAAGCATCTGGCACTGCCTATTACCAGGGCTGATTGAAATTAAAAGCACATTCATTTAAATCGCTGATATTCTTCTCCAAAATGATAAGTTCATTCTTCCCCATATCTCTAAATCTCTTATTATTTCTTTCCATACTTTCGCATAATTGTCTTTAAATACATTAATATTTTTAGCTGTTAACCAAACTCCTAGATATTTTACTTTTTTATGTATAACCAAATCTGTTTTCTGTTGTAATTCCTTTCCCCCCCCTTGTCTGTCATACTTTTTACCTAACACTTAGACTTATTTAAATTTAATTTAAAACCTGCAACCTGCCCAAAGTTCTGTATCTTTTTTAAAACTTTCGGTAGAGTATTTTTAGGATCTTCCACTGTGATTACAAGGTCATCCGCAAAAGCTTTTAGTTTACCAAATTTACATTTCAATCCAGTTTCCACTTATCCCCCAAAGAGCTCAAGGTAGTGCACACAGTTCTCCCCTCCCTCATTTTACCCCCAGTACAAACTGGGGGCAGTCTTCAACTAAGGAACAACAGAACCTTCTCCCCTCTCCTCCCTGTTTGCCACAGACCCTCCCCAAATCTGCTCCAAAGAGATTTAGGGGACTACGGTTTGTTGTGCAAGCCAAAATCCTTATACTGGCAGCATGCATTTGTTGCACATGGTTCTATTGGGGAAATTATGCCCTTGCATAAACAGCACATCTGCTTTTGCAGATGAATGTTCAGAATGTGATGCCACTTTCTGGCACAAATGCTTCTGGAAATTGCAGCAAGCATTTCATCAGTCCCTAAGCACCATCCCACTGGGGTGCATGAACAGCTTCTGCAGCTCATCAAGATCCTGCAGATTCAATTGTCTGGCCTTGACCAATTGAGTGCATTCTGGAGAGAAGAAAACAAGCTCTCCCTATTATGCTGTGCTATTCCCCAGACATTTTCATTATCCAAGACATGGTGCCCATCGAACAGTGCCTTGTACTAAAAGCCACTGCTGTCAAATTATGTTAGAAGGAATAGGGAGAAAGCAGAATGCTCCACAGTTAATCCTGTCACCTGGAAAATCAGAAGAGAAATATAATTTTGTAATTTTTCAAATTAAATCAAAGGCTGTTCTCTGTACTGACAAGTTAATCCAGTGCAGTTCCACTCAACCATTACTCTGCTGGGCTGGTCTTGGTTCACAGTGGGAGCTATTCTGGTCTCTGTGTGTACTTTTCATTGTTTAGGGCAGTGATTTCCATTCACGTTGCAAATGGTCACTGTGATTATCCATTAAGATAGGGGTAAGGAACTTTTCTCCACCTAAGGCCACTGTCAGGGGTTCAGGAGCAGAGGCAAGGGCAAGGGAGGAATCAGAGAGCGTGGGGGAGGAGGCAGAAGAAAAGATGAGTGATGACGACGACCCGAGATCTCAGAGTCTTTCCAGTGAATCAGAAGATTCACAGAAAGGAGCACCAGTGGCCAGGGCAAGGGGGGAGCCTAGGGGGACGCCCCAGGAAGATAGAGCCAGAGGGGACTCAGAGGGGGCAGTTGGAAATCGGGACCAGCGTCACCGCCAGAGAGCAGGGAAGAGGAAGGGAGCCAGGGATCAGCGCTGGCAGCTCACAACAGGGGGGAGGGCACGAGTCAGGAGTGGCCACACCTCCATCGGGGAGCGAAGAAACGGTCAGACGGAAGGTGGAAGGTTGGGCGCGCGCGCCTGAGTTCAAATGCACAGGAAGGTGGCACAGTAGGCAGCCCGGAAAGGGAGCCAGGTCCTAAAGCCCGCCGAAAGGAGGGAGAAGAGTCAGGGGGGTCAAGCGTCAGAGGAATCCCGGAAAGAAGAGACCCCAGGGGGCAGAGGGACCCAGAGAAGAAACAGTCAGGCGGAAAAGGTGGAGCAGGGCTAGGATATTAAGTTGGTGTACAAGGGCGGAGACTCAGACGGAGCTTCGCCGGTCTAACCATGAGACGTAGAGTTGCACGCAGCAGTTTGAGAATGGAAACTGTAACTCAATAAAGACTTTTTGTTTAATGATCGCTGGCTAGCGTGATCCTCTGTGAGCTAGGATCTGGAAGCAGCTCTGACAGCCACACACCCTCATGGGCCACCTTCAAGGGCCTTATACCAAAGGTTGAAGTGAGAAATTTAACTTGGTAAAGAGGCCAGTGTCTACACCCACATCTGTATTCACCAACCAGACAAACATGAGGCATGATTAGAGTTCAAGAACGCACTGCAGCCTGGCAAGGACACCTAGGAGGGTGTGAAACAAGGCCAGAGAGAGGGTGTGGCTAGCTAGTTGGGCTGGGGAGTGTTATGGGTCACATAGAAAAAGGTCAGAGGGCCACCCTTGGCCCCTGGGCTTGAGCTCCCCACCCATGCATTTAAGAGGAGGCTAATATGTTGGTTTGGTTTTTAAGATGGTTTTGGTTTTTTGATCGTCTTCTAAAGCAACTACTCTATTCCGAACTTTAAAATGGAAAGTGTAATGCTGGTGGTCAACAAAAGAAACAGTTAAAGACTGTCTCAAGGCAAATCTTTAAAAATGTAGTATAAACAGTGACAACTGGGAAACATTGGCCTGCGAGCACTCCAGTTGGAGAACAGCCTTTACCAAAGGTGTCATGGGCTTTGAAGACACTCAAACTCAGGACGCAAGGGAGAAACATGCTAAGAGGAAGGCATGCTCGGCAAATCCACACCGTGATCAACTCCAGCCCGGAAACCAATGTCCTCACTGTTGAAGGATGTGTGGGTCCAGAATTGGCTTCCACAGTCACTTACGGACTCATTGTTAAAGCCATGTCTATGGAAGACAATCTTACTCAGCTATGAGTGATCGCCAAAGAAGATGGGCCGCATAGAAAAGGTCAGAGGGCCACCCTTGGCCCCTGGGCTTTAGCTCCCACCCAGGCATTTAAGAGGATGCTAATATGTTGGTTTAGTTTTTAAGATGATAAACAGCCTTTGTTAGTCTGCCTAGAAACTGTATCACATGGCTTCTGTGGTTTCATCATTTCATTTCTCCCCTTTTTGCATTCCATTTCGTATATGATAGTGGGAACTGTGTTGCTTTGCCAACTGAGCAGTCTAAATCCTAACATTTGTGAGTAGTCTTGCAACCATTTTTAATTTGGATACTTGCATGCAAGTTGACAGAAACTAATCCCCCCTTAACCATAAAGCTCACTGGGTGATCTTAAGCTATTCACCATTTCCCAACCTTACCTACCTCACAGGGCTATTGTGAGGATAAGATTGAAGGCAGGGAAAAGAGCCACCTTGAACTCCTTGATTGAACAGTAGGATTTAGATTTGTTTAATATAAGAACAACTTATTTTTATTTTATTATATAACATTTGGGGGGTGTTAACCATCCTTAGACCTCAAAAATGGCAAGCTGTTCTTACCCAGGACTCAGCTATACAGCTGCAAATAAAACATATGCGTTGTAAAGTGCAGTATACAAATGTGACACTGGATGGCAACAGTGAGCTATGCCAAATTCAATGTATTTTTCAAAAGGTTTTTTAAAAAAAACATTTTCACAGCATTTTGTGTGTGTGTAGATTCCACCCCAGAGTTGATTCGCACCTACGTGCACATCACTTGATGTGCGCATCATCCAGTAACAACTTGATTTGCATGTTCAAACATGCCATTAAAGAAATAAATGAAAACCACAGGTAGAACAGTCAGATTGGTCCGAAACACAACAGTGTTCCGTGGAGTCAGAGCCATACAGAGAAATCAAGGTGTGAACCAGCCATATGTTATATCACGTTAGTGTTTGCTTTCCATGGATCCACCTGAAAGTGGTATTAAATGCACTGCATTCCTTCCACATAAGGAGCTGAAGGGTGTATCTTTCTCCTCCTCTTCTTGTTATCCTCAGACCAATCCTGTTAGGTAGGTTAAGCTGAGAGATCACCCAGTGAGCTTCATGGCTAGCCCTAATCCAACACTCTCGCCATTACATCACACTGGCTCTCAAATTAATGTTAAAGCTAATTATGCTAGTAGCCATTCTCACCATCTCTTACAGAAGCAATGTGTTTGTACATTTAGCTGAAGAAGTACTTTTAAAAGCTCTCCTTGAACCTTTTGTCTGCTCTGCTTACTTGCTTCTAGCTGCCTATAGGTTTCCAGGTTCCATTCAAAGTGCTGGTTCTAATTTATAAACCTATGCATTGGGACCCCAGTATTTGAAAGAATACCTTTGCTGCAGTCAACATGCCTGTACCCTTCATTCACCATCTAAGGCCCTCCTCTAATGCATGAAGGGGTTATGAAATATACTCAGAGTCGAGCGTGGATTTCATGCTCTTTATTCAGCTCATAGTGGTGAGGAGGAATGAAAGTTTCCCAAAGTATCTGCTTTATATACATTATTTACACAATGAGCTGCACGTGATTGGCTAATTCGGAATTCTCCTGTAGGCCAATCAGGTTGTGGATTCACTTCCATCTGGAGCTGGATTGGGTGGCTCCTGCAGACCAATCACACTGCTGCATTGTTCTAGGACCAATCAGACTGCTGCATTCTGAATCCTATTGTTCTAGGACCAATCAGACTGCTGCATTTTGGATCCTATTGTTCTAAGACCAATCAGACTGCTGCATTTTGGATCCTATTGTTCTAGGACCAATCAGACTGCTGCATTTTGGATCCTATTCAACTCAGTACATTAACAGGTTAAGACCATAGAGTAAGCTCTGTCCTGCCAGACTTAGTGAGGCACTGTAACTAAGCCAGGTTTTACTGCCTGTTCAACTTTTTCTGAATGCTGAAAAGCACATGGATCTGACCGTTGAGAGTGCCATGGTCAGATCACTTTCTGGTGCAACTGGACTTCTATAAACAACTATCTGACTTTTAGAAGACATCTGAAGGGCACCCTGTTTTGGGAAGGTTTTTTTTGGAAATTATTATTATTATTAGCAAATCATTTTTTACTTACCAAATGTGTGGTCTTTTTTCTATGCTAGGGGAAGTGGAAAGTTTTGGAACTCACAAGGGCATGCTGTTAAAAGTATATATTTCCATGCTTTGCTTTGCTGCATGTTTCATATTTTAAATCTCTCACCAAAGAGTACTTGCCCCAAACCTGGATCTTGGCATCCAGGGAATTCTCCGTAATATACTTATTTTTCCTTGCACCAACAGATCCAGCAGTCTCTTCTTATATTCTTCTGTTCTCCTTCTGGCTTGTAGGGATGTGTATAGATGCTAGGAGATGATATATTTATTAGATATTATTCTTCCTTCCTCATGTTTGTGAGTTCAGCAGAGTGCATCCCTTTGCAGCTTAAAGGGAAGCTTAGATAGGCCAGTTTTAGCCTTTTGGTTTAAGTAATCCAGGATGCTTTAAAGCAGTTTTAGTTGATGTGGATCTTGCCCTCTCTTGGCAGTTGAAGCAGAATCTGTTGAAGATGGCACAATGCCTTTGTAAATTTCAAAGCCAGCATCCTGCCATCCTCTTTCATCAATGTGCTTTGTGAAGTCACTTCCCATACTGGAAACTCTCCTCTGTTCCAGACAATTTCTTTGACTTTTCTGCCATGAAATGACACCTTCTCAGGTGGTTGCAGGCATTCATCACAATTAGCAGGAGCTCTAACATGTGGTGTTTTTTTAAAGTAAATACAACCAGCTTTGAACTCTGCCTGCCCCTGCAGTGTTTCCCTGATCTGATGCAATTCGTGTGCAATTTATTATGCTTGTAAAAACACGCATTCTCAGCAAGCACTTGCATATTTTTATTGCGTGCAGCCATGCCTGCTGTGATGGGAGCTTTCCAGTCCTTAGTTGTCAGCAGCCTAATGAACCATGTGTATGATGAATAAATGCACACAAATTGACACAATATGGAATGTTCTCTATTTGACTGCTTGGGCATTAGCAAGCCTTCACCCTCTTATTGCCCAGAATTCTGGAGTGAGAATGACTATTTAATAAGCACTGCACTCTTTAGAATTTCATTAATTGGATTGTTCCCTGTGCTTTGGGAAATGACCCTGCTCATCCTCTTATTCCAAACCACCTTCTTCCTAATGAAAATGCTAGGCATCTGTCTTTCCTGCTTATCCCTTTCCTCTTTTTTCTTCAGCAACGCCCCCGCCCAGCACATTCTATGCAAAACTAGAATCATAGAATCATAGAATCATAGAGTTGGAAGAGACCACAAGGGCCATCGAGTCCAACCCAAGAAGGAAACACCATCAGAGCACTCCTGACATATGGTTGTCAAGCCTCTGCTTAAAGACCTCCAAAGAAGGAGACTCCACCACACTCCTTGGCAGCAAATTCCACTTTCGAACAGCTCTTACTGTCAGGAAGTTCTTCCTAATGTTTAGGTGGAATCTTCTTTCTTGTAGTTTGGATCCATTGCTCCGTGTCCGCTTCTCTGGAGCAGCAGAAAACAATCTTTCTCCCTCCTCTATGTGACATCCTTTTATATATTTGAACATGGCTATCATATCACCCCTTAACCTTCTCTTCTCCAGGCTAAACATGCCCAGCTCCCTTAGCCGTTCCTCATAAGGCATCGTTTCCAGGCCTTTGACCATTTTGGTTGCCCTCCTCTGGACACGTTCCAGTTTGTCAGTTTCCTTCTTGAACTGTGGTGCCCAGAACTGGACACAGTACTCCAGGTGAGGTCTGACCAGAGCAGAATACAGTGGCCCTATTACTTCCCTTGATCTAGATGCTATACTCCTATTGATGCAGCCCAGAATTGCATTGGCTTTGTTAGCTGCCGCGTCACACTGTTGGCTCATGTCAAGTTTGTGGTCAACCAAGACTCCTAGA